ACCCAACCAACCCCCCCCCCCCCCCCGAGAGCACAGTGGGGAAACTGTTTGGCAAGATGATAGACAATAGAATGGGAGACATGTTGGAGGGGAAACAAAAGATCAGCGAAGGACAAGCTGGATTTAGACCAGATCGTAGTTGTGTAGACCATGTATATACGTTGAGTAAAATCATCCAAGGTAGGAAAGACGCCGGGCGTACGACATACTGTTTCTTCCTCGATATACAAAAAGCCTACGACACCGTATGGCGCAATGGATTGTGGAAAAAGATGTGGGACATCGGCATCCGGGGGAAAATGTGGAGGATGTTGAAAAAGATGACAGAATGCACAAGAAGTGCGGTGATGTTGGATGGGGAAATTTCGAAGTACGTGGGTATACTACAAGGAGTCGCACAGGGCTGTACGATGTCACCCACTCTTTTTTAAGATTTACATCAACGATTTGATAAGGGCGGTTAAAGCAGTAAGACAGGGAGTCCAAGTAGAGGGAAAGAGTGTGTCCGGAATGATGTTTGCAGATGATTTCGTGGGGGTATCCGAAACACCAGAAGGGTTGCAAGAACAAATAGATGCGGCGGTAGGATACACCCGAAAATGGAGACTGTCGGCGAACGTAGGAAAATTCGCAGTAGTGGTCTGTAACGAAGACAAGAAAAATCCCGTAGAATTAAAATGGAAATGGGGGGAGGAAGAACTACCTGTAGTAGACAAGTATACGTACCTGGGAGTAGAGATTTCGAAGGAGTGCTCATGGGACGCACACATAGCGAAGTTGATTGGGAAGGGTAAAGCTCAGATAGGCAAGATGGACGAGATCCTTACTGACCCACACCTAGACACTAGGATTAAGAGGTGTATTCTCTTGAATGTGATTGTACCTAAGCTAGAGTATGCAGGAGAGGTATGGGAAGGTAACGAAAAGGCCGTCAAGCAGCTGGAAACGGTGCAGATGGCAGCGGCCAAGAAAATACTAGGATGTTCAAGTACAACGAGCAACACTGTACTGAGAGCAGAATTGGGAATGTACTCTCTTAAAACAAAGAGAGACACGCAGAAGTTGAATTGGCAGTACAAGGTAAGTAGAATGTCGGACGATAGACTACCAGCCATGGTTGACAAGGCAGCTTGGGGAAAAGCGACTCCAGGGAAGAAGGGAATCAGATGGGACAAGGTGGTAGAGAAGGTTTGGAAGGAGATAGGAGACGAGGAGGAGACGTTGGACACGGAAGGGTTCGGGGGGTTCAAGACGAAAGTCAAGGAGATGCTAGAGAGTAGGGAGGAGACAACCCTTCGGAAGAAGGTACGAAGCGAAGACCACTTGGAGATATACGGGAAGTTGAAAGAAGGGATAGGGATGAAGACGTACTTGGACGGCCCCATGGACTATGCGAAAAAGCTGAAATTGCAATTTCGAGTAGGCGATCTGGACTTGCCAGAACGGAGGAAGAGGTATACCAGCCGTAGGAGAGAGGAAGAGGAGGATAGACACACATGTCCATGTGGCAAATCGGAGGAGAGTAGACCCCACATAGTTGGGGAGTGTGAGTTGTACAGGAAGGAAAGAGAGGATCTCGAGGAGGAAATGAGACAGAGAGGGTGTGACATGGACAAGTTTGGTAAATTAGACAACAGCGAAAAAACGATCGCGATAATTGGGGATAGATGGTGGGCACAAGAGGCCCTAGAGGACGGGGATAAGATGTGCAACAAATTTTTATGGAGTTTGTGGCAGAAACGTAAAGAGCTCCCAAATGTTGGTGGTGTCTCTAGTAGGTGTAGGAACGGTGCTCCGTCTCGAAAGGGACGCGTGGTCAATGGTCAAATGACTACGGCAAGCAACAAATGAGTACGCCCCCCCCCCGAGACCGAACCCAGCCCAACCCTTCAATACTCAACTCAAGTGATAACAAGCTGTCTGTCTGCTCTTCAGGTCTGGCGACTCTACTGCTGCTGTGTCCCACAACCATCTGCTGTGTGCCAGCACGCCGCATGCCCCTTTCTGGAGGGGGCACGCAGCGCCTGGCACACATCGCATACACGCGCTGTGCTGTCCACCAGCAGCGCTGTCCACCAGCAGCGCGGGTGACACACACGTCACACAACGACGCCGCTGAATCAGCTGCGTGCGTCTGGCGCACATAGCATACACATATGTATACATGTCTCTCTACTACTACTGCTGCTGTGTGGACTTTTGCCACCCCCATGCCCGATGCGCATGATGACTCTGTGGTGCATCTCCCACATCAGATGCGTTGTCCCACCAGACTGCTGTGTGCCAGCACTCCAATAACGGGTTCTTTCGTCTGCGCGAACATGGTCATGACAACGGGCATATACAGGCTACTATTATTGCTTTGTGTGTCCAAGACTGATGTGTGCTACTGCTGTGGGGTGTCGAGCAATGGTGGGTGGAACAACGGACCGGCTGGATAAAACAGCAGCATACCGTAAACTACGGAGTTTTCCCCCCGGGCAGGGGATCGTTTTTTTTTCTGAAACCAAACCCGCCGGGGGGAAATTGACGTACCGCGGGGGGTAGTTTTTTTTCCAACGCTACCCCGGGGGGTTGTGCAAAATAATGATGGTCCACACACCACACACAGAGAGAGTGGCGAAACTGAGATGGATAAGGTGTACGAGCAAGCGTTCA